TAAGCTTATTTTGAGCAGTGCATTCTGAAGCATTAGTATTTTCTTTCACCGAAAGACCGTTGGTTTGGACAATTTTGAAGCACTTTCTGTCTTTTCCATATGCATTGACGTTTCGCCACAAAAGTCGGAAAAACTTCCCCATCAACTTGTGGTACCACGATACTAAAATACCTTTTTGAGGCTGTGACGGTCACTTTTCCGGTAAAGAAATAAGTGTTTTTAATGGAATACGTAATACAGTGGTGAAGGGCACTGACTGGGTAGTTCTGCCCTGGGTTTGAGACAATGAATGAATTGGTAAACGTGCACATCACCGGATGTAAATTGATGACTTCCGCTCGAATGATTTTTTTTCTTTATTCGTGAGCCATATAATAAACAACTTAATAACCTTGACCGTTCAGTCGTTACAGGAAAATCTCAAACCTCGGCCTACCGTATTGACCTCGCTATCGCTCGGTCAATACGGCAAGGCGTCAGTTTGAGTTTTTCCCGCAACGACCTCACTCTCGGTTATTAAGTAGTTGATAATAAATTGAAAATATCTAACCAATCTAAAAGTTGTAGCTTAGTGTTGTGTCAAATATATGTTTTGATTTTCAATTCAGTTTTGTATTCAACTACTAGTAATAAGGATTCATTGCAAACTGGGTTTTGAATCAAAACCTTCAACTTTGCAATATACATATTAGATTTATGGGCACAAATCTTTCCAAAACAGCACTTACCCTCAAATGTAGTTTTTGTATAATCCTGCTAAGCAACAGAGGAAACTTGGCAGTGTCTAAGCTGTTAATCAGTTCAACTGCTTTCTTTAACCTGTACAAAAAAATAAGTAATGATACTTAACATGAAACGTTCTCTTTCAAGGTTCTGCTACAAAGTTACATTAAATTATTTTCTCTTCTCACAGCACCTTTGAAGCAATTTCCAACAAAGAAACTACAGTTGAACCTCTCATAGGCAACTTTTTTAAATGTCAACAGATGTGGTTGCCAACAGGTGTTAGCTCATGATAGATCTGACCAAAGAGGTCTAAATACCCTGCAGTGGTCTTCCATACCCCAAATGTATGCATGCATAATATCAATTGAATTGACTATAAGAATAGCTCGTTTCCTTAACAGTAGCCTTCATTATTGCAAAACTGGAGGAGTACAAGGGCTGTCAAAAGTAGCTGGCTGCCACTGAAAACCACCATCTACTTCATGGTTTGAGACAGCTACTCTGCTGAGCATTTCTCTGCATCTTTAGGAAAAGATGCTACAATCAGTTGACTAGTTCAGCAATATCATTGCCTACTTCTAAACTTTGTGACAATCCTGTGTACCTTGTTACTGGTATTTTCAATGAGGTTCACAACAGGGAAGAGATTGGTTTTACACTGGAAGGCAAAACTTTTTGAACTATAAACTTCTCACTAATAAAAAATATCCTTGAGATGGTCAAATCAGGCAGGCAGAACTGTTCCCTGTCCCCAACCCCCCTAATGAAACCCCTAATGGAAGTTTAACTTAATGCATGAGTTCCCATGTTCTAATAGACTTAACTCTGGGAGCTAGTCTCCAAAATGATATTCCACACAACCAGCATGGGTTTCATTAAGGACTGGGCATCAGGCATGTGAGGATGAGTTTGCCCCCCTGGTTTGACTGTCTAGAAGAAAGTCCTTTATAAAAAGGTTCAGTTCAAAAAGTTTTGTCACCTGTGAAGGCCAGTTGTCCTCCTCCTGAAAAATGTTGATGAAGCCCCTACATCCCAGAGTAAAGAAAATGTTTGATGATTCAGATTTTGATCTATAGCCAATTTTCAGCAGTCTATAGATGGACCCAGGTTTTCAGAACAGGAGTCACTAGTCATGATTTGACAGCTGACCCATATTGTTATACCCAAGTCATTTCTGTATTTATGTAAAATTTGTTTGTAAGTGAGCTCAAATTTGTTCAATACACTTTCAGCCAATAAAAGGCCGCAGTGTGGGCGTTATTTTCAAACGAAACGCTCGATAAACCAGGTTTTCAGTGCTGCCATCTTGGATTGTAATTGGATGCTTGACCAGTAAAGGGGCAGAGGGGGATGGGAGGGAGGCCACCTCACGCCTACTCCCTTGACAAATTTCTCCTGCTCCAACCCTCCACAGGCACCAAATACAAGATGGCGCCTAATATGAAAATGTGCACTTGCGCACCCAAAATATGCCTGCACTGCAGGGCTAGGCTAATAGGGTCTGCACAAAGAGTAGGCCAGCAAGTCATGCATACCACCTTGTGAGCCATTCTTATTAGCTTAAATATTATAGTCTGACTGGCCTGAATATCACCTGGTTAACTCGCATGGCTTGCTTGCTGGTTAACCTAAATAGCACTCCTGTTAACCTAACTAGAACTCTGTTTAGTCTAAAGAGCACTCTGGCTAGCCTTAGTGAACTTGATTAACATGTGGTTAGCCATTTCATTGTTGATGAGGTCCCATGATGAGTCATGAGTCAATTCAATACGTCACTGGTCACATTGCACACCAGTCAGCCTAAAAAGCGCTCCAGTCAGCTTCAGTAGTACTCTGACTAGGAAATCGATTTTTAGCGACTGATAGACGGCTTTTCATCGATCTTCAAGCCCAAAACAGACGAGGTTTGTAGCTACATGTAGCATTTTTAGCTTACTTATTTTTCTTACTTCCCAGCCGTGGGCTGAGTCAAAAAGTTGCGAAACTTAACAACAGTGTGACATAGGTCTTGAAACATTCCACGCACACTCTGATAATAGCAGATACAAGGTAAAAATCTACAGTGGATCAGTATTAGAGTACCTGGAAGTCGCTTGAAACATGAGCGCCATGTTTGATTTCCTCAAAAGCCTAGTTTCCTCTCTGATTTGAGCCATCGCTTCGTCCGCAGGTGATCTGGGAACAAGATTACGTATAACCCAAAGTTCATCATGGCGGACGATAGGGAAGAGGAGAATACGAGAATAAACGTTGTGGTGAAAACCTCAAAAAGCAAAGAGACTATAGAAACTGAACCAACTGCAACGATACTAGAGGTATTCTTTTATTTTAATAAGGAAAAATCTACATGGTCTTTACTGGAACAATTCGTTTATTTTCAGTTCAAAGAACTCGTATCGGCAAAGTTCAAGGCGCCGGTTTCCCAGTTGTGTTTGATATTCGCCGGTCGAATTTTGAAAGATGGAGACACACTGGAGTCTTATTGTAAGTTTTATTCGGTATTTCATTGGACAAATATGAATTCTGAGTTAGCGGTTGTTGTTTTGGGTTGTTTTAACATATTGCTTGGTTGATTTGCAGCTATAAAAGACGGTCTCACAGTTCATCTTGTTATCAAGTCTGACAACAGGGTTAGTCGTGTAACTGTTTTTGTTTCTGTGCTGTTTTTGGTGTTTTCGTTGTTTAAACGTTATGGCAAAAAACTCAGTGTTCCTATAAAAAGTAAAGTATTATTTTTAAGCTTTGAGTATATCAAATGATTATAATTTCGTAATTATAAACAAGCACTCATCAAACTGACGAAAGCTGGATCTTTCGATGATGTAATATTTAAGCTTACGTTTAGATATGAAACCTTTTCAGAACATTCTAGGTTAGATTGATGTTGTGTTCCACAGTTGCAAGCCTGAACAATTTTCATCTTTGTGCCAAGATAGCTCTTAAATAGACCTCAGAAAGTGAGAGAGAAAAATGATCCGTGTCCAGTCATCCATCCAAACACGTCAGATATCCAACATTCCCTTTGAAATCACTCAATGGCAAAAAATAAGTTTGGAAATACATCATTCAAGGACTTGCTCTAGTGTCTAGAGGTGACCAAGAGATTTGTTCTGAATCTAGCAAATTCTTGGATAAATCACAAAATTAGGATAATTATTTGTTTCCTTGTTCTTCTTGTCAATAGTATATTAGGTGTTTGTCAATATTGTTCAAAGAGATAGAAATCTTTGAGGGGTGTTACTATACATGATAGTCGGGGGGAAGTAGAAAGAAAAATGAAAAAGAAAGGAAAAATACCACCAAATAGGTTACCTCAAAATGAGAGTCCTTCAGGTTGGGGAAGGTTACAGTATTCATCTACCCAGTGCAGAAAATGGTAAAATTTGCAGCTTTTGACTCAACTTTTTACTGCCAAGAGCAAATAATTTCTCATGTAAGCAGTAGTTAACATCTATAGCCTTGGAAGTAGGCACAATCCTTTCAACAGTGAAAGGTTATTTTTGTTGTTAATAATATGTTACTTAGAAGGCCACAATTAAATTTGACCAGCATGAGCCAACATTCTTTTCTTGTAGGTATGCCAGTAAATGGCTGAATTTTGCTGAATTGCTAACCAGTTTAAAAAGTTGTTTCATCTGATTCGTGGAAAACTAGGAAAAAAACTGTTATCAATAACTGATTAATTAATAGCTATTATTATATGGCTTGTGTTTATAGCCAATAGAACATGTGCTCTGATGGGCCATTTGTAGTGCATCATTCTCCCGTAATGTCCACTGGTTGATCACGGGCCCACAAAACCACATAATAAACAACTTATTAACCTTGAATGTTCGGTTCTTGTGGGAAAATCTTAAACCTCGGCCTTGCCGTATTGACCAAGCGATAGAGAGGTCAATACGGCAGTCTTGGGTTGAGATTTTCTCATAAAGAACTCACTGTTGTTTATAAGTAGTTATTATTGATAATTTAGAATTGTGTGACTCAAGAAAATATCCAGCTCAGTCCTATTCCCCCTTCCACCCCCCAATGCCATTGGGAGATTCTGTTCCAGTAGGGTCTTCCCTTCCCTCAGGAATTTCAAGCCCAAAATTTGACATCTTTGCCGCCATTTTGAACATAACTCAGCAGCCAGGCTGTGTAATTCATACATGGCTTCCAACAAGCCTTTTAACTACCACTCTACGTTATGACTGCCCTTGAGCCGTATGATTTGAAGCCAAACATGCTCTAAACTCTGAAAATGATAGCAGTGAAGATAGTGAAGTGGATAGTAGGTTGGAAAAAAATCCATTTTGCTGACAGTCACTTTGTGAAGAATGCCAAGTCATTTGCATGTTATTCTACTTCCCGCCAATTTTGAGTTGGATGGAGTGATGTCTCATAAACTTGGCCCAGCCGTCAAGTACAATTTCAAAATGGCAGCATCCAAAGTCGAATTTTAGGCTTCTTTTGAGAAAAATTTCTTCAGGATAGCAGGCACTTTAGAGGCTGAAACTTTGTTGAGTGGAAAAACCCATTGTTGGCTTGCTATAGATGGAGACAAAAAATAAGCTTTTTGGAGTGACCTCCTTTAAGGAAATGAGTAATGATAACTCTGGGAACTTTAGACTTAGATGTCTTTGCATAGTTGTCGAACTTTCTAAAATTTTGTATAGTGTAAAGCTGTTAAATTTTCAAAACATTGATCACAAACGAGCATAAAACAGTGTGTGCTAACAAACATTGGAATAGTTAACTCACTGGAATAGTCAATGGAATAGCTCACTCGGCACTCATGTCTCCTTACTATATTCAATATGTGCTCTCTACTGTCTTTTTAAGAAAAACTGGAGCTGGGTCTTATAAGACAGTACAAAGTATTAGCTCATTTGTACACCATGCATTTTTATATGAGTGCGACAGTCAAACCTCTATCAAGCGACCACTCTGAGGGATGAGACAACTGGCTGTTTATTAGAGATGGCCGTTTAACAGAGGTTCACCTGAAAACAATGCTGGGTGTGGTCCAGTTTTCAGTTTATCAAATATAAGTACAAACAAATGCAAGTGGAGAAAAAGAAGAACAATAATGGTTATAATACAATCCATGACGTTAACGAAAGCCAAAGAAACAATAATTATTACGTTTCCACATTGTCATTCTTTTACCTTCACCTGGCTAAAAACTTCCAATTTCAAATCTTCCTGGCCAATTACTCGAGGTATAGAACAAAACAAAATCACCCTTGGGATGGCAAGAAGCTGGCCGCGGCCGCTTAATAGAGATGGCTGTTGAATAGAGGTTTTTATTACAGTGTATAGCTGACAATTTTTCCAGGACTTTGGCTCCTGGACGCTAAACAAAGGTTGGCCGCTTAATAGAAGTTCAACTGTATAAATAAACTTTTTTTTCCATGCCAGGCCCAGCAACAGGCAGCACAACACGCTACTGCCAGTCAACAGGTAAGTGTTCCATGGTATTGTCAAGAAATAGGAAACATATTCTGTGTTTCTATTAAATTAGGGAAATGCATGTGAAAGTTTGGAAGAATGAGAAATACTGTTTATGTTTGTTTATCTAGACTACTACATTATAATAGTGAATTAGATTTCACCATCCTATGAAAAGTTGCTTCTTGCTTATTTCTGGGTCTGATCTCTGTTACTATATTATAAATGTATTGGTTTATGCTTAAAGTGTGTTTCTATTAAGTTCTGTATGCACCTAGGAGTTTGCAGTGCACTTGAGAAGCTGGAGTTGCTCTCTGTTATTGGTCAACCAAAAATGTATTGTTATGTAGATGATTCATGCATTATGAATCTAGCTTGTTTATAAAAGCCACAAAAACTCACATATTAATTTAAAACCTATTACATGTACTTGGTTGTTTTAGCTATTACTTTGCAAAAATTAGAGGTGTGGTTTACAGTATATTGGGAAATCAAGAGTTAGGCTATTAAAGAAAATAGGGATTTCCCAGGAATATACCAAAGCCCACACCACTTAAGACTTAGAACTGAAGGTCCAGTGACAGTCAGGGCTATCAGGGGCTGGTAGCCAGCCGAAACAGCCAGTTACTGGCCAATCTTCTACCATCTACGTTTGTCTCACTTTGCCATTAATAATGAAAAGTTCCAACCTGCAATTACATGTAACTCTGGTTGTCGAGTAATATCATTATTTTAATGTCATTGCTTGCTCTGCTCAATCTAATGTTTAGTCTCCATCAACTACACCTTTGGCTCAATCAAGTGCCCCACAGTCCCAACCAATGCCATCTCCATTTGGCTCTGGATTAGGAAGTTCAGGTGGATCTGGAGGTGGATTAGGGGGTCTTGACATGTTTGGAAATGCAGGTATGTTTATATTCTATTTCAAATTTGGTTACGTCTCTATTGCACTGCATCAGCGGCAAACCACATGAGCACTAAACATTTCAAGACTGTACTTGTCTAATAGTTAAAATTAATAGGTATTTAGATGACAGATGACACCATGGCTATAAGATGTATATGGTTTTTTTCTTTCCATTTGGAACTCCAACAAGGAAAATGGGTCAGGAAACAACAAATGATTGTATTGTTTGAAGTGACTGCTTTTTTAAAAATCTCCGCTTTTGTGGTTGTCTGCCAACAATGCCTCTTCTGTGTGACTTTTCATGATAAGCTGAATTTACATTTAGGTTAGATCACCATGAATCTCTCATTATTGGGGTTCTAAAGTGCTATTAAAGTAAATCTTACTGTTCTCAATGCTTATTAATTTTATTATTTCAACGTTCAATCATACATGTACTTTAGGGTTTAGTCATTTTAAAGCATTGTTTTGAAAATTTTAAATCTTTTTTATTAACAGGAAACCTTCAGCAGATGTCACAACAGGTTGGTTCACTGTTTAATGTGATTAAAGTAAACATATTACTTAAATTGACACGTATGCACAAAGTTGTGACTTTAATAAAATAAACAAAATGGAAATACTTTTGAACAGCTTTATGTAATTTAAGTCCTGTTTATGTTGGATTCTAGAACATTTTAGGTTTGTGGTCATCGCTCATGTTGGAAGAACAGCAACAAAACTGTGAAACAACTACATGCTTCAAATGAAGTGATGCACTTGGCTCTTTAGGAAAAAACTACCATAAATGTTTACTTAAAAATTTTTCTTGACACAAATTAAGCAATGAATTCTTAAATGTATTTGGACAGTTCACAACAGTAAATGTACCTTACATAAAGTCTATGAACATCCAGAGCCCTAGCATTGTTTGGTATTTATTGTTACCCCTTTAATTTTTTTAGCTGATGTCTAACCCAGAGATGTTAAGACAAATGATGGACAGTCCCATTGTGCAGGTAATTACATACAATATCAACATGCTATGATTATGTTTCAGGGCTGACATTAAGTTTTAATTCACCTGTAGCCTTGATCTTCACACCTGTAGCAAACTTGTTACTTTACGGGTGAACTGTATCAACTACAGGTCAGTTCACCGTGACATCAAGGGTCCATCAAACATACTCAGCCATAACAGGTGTGATAGGTTACAACCCTTATTGACAGCCCTGTGTATCTCTCTTTAACAAGTTCATTTTGAGTAAATTTCTAAATTTCCAACAAAACCAACTTGAGTGATATTGCAAACATTGTGGTAAATGACATTTGTTGTTTCAAGGTAGATTTTTGTAAACTGTAGTTTGTAGTTAATATGCTTTTTTAATGAGTGATAGCTTAGCTAGAAGGAGTCATAGAGGTGATGAGATTTATGCAAATGAGCGGCCAGTCAATCATCCATCAACTTTTGGTGTTGATAATTTTAATCTGTTAGCGGGTAATTGACGAGTGATAGCATATCTATGAGTGATCAGATTATACAAATGAACATGACTTTCTTTGCAGGCTGATCTCCATCAGAACTCTGCACAATGTATGTCTGAGTACCTGTCAATTTTATCATTTGAGTGTCTGAGATTTTTATCTCTTTGCAGAGCATGATGTCAAATCCTGATCTTATCAGACAAATGATTCTTAGTAACCCACAGATGCAGCAACTTATTGAGGTAAGTAGATAAATTTATGAGCATTGTTTAACTCAACAAGATCTGATTATCTGGCATCTCAAGGACAAATTTTATTGTGTGGAGTTCATGTGCAGCTTCAATGATAATTATTTAGAACTGAACATATGAAATTTCATATATTTGAACTATGGGTGAAAGATATTGATGATTATCACAGTAAGTTAGCACTTGATGCATGATGTGGCATGTAATTGGGACATAAGTTACATGCACAGTAAGGATGTGAAGAAACAATAGGCACAAATATCCTTAATAACTTAATTGGTAGAATATTGCACTGGTATCCAGAGCTCATTGGTTTGAATCCTGTCCAAGCCTGAATTTTTATGTAGGCTTTTTGTTTGTAACTGTTTTTGAAGTAGCATGCACTGTGATTATCTTGCGTGTATTCATAATACTACTGAAAAATGTTATGTTGGGAACTGTTGATTATAATAATAATAATAATAATAATAATAATAATTGTTATTATTATTATTATTATTGTGATTGTGATTGTTATTGTTATTGTTAAAGAAAAGGGTTTCTATAAAATCAATATTTTATTCAAAAGTACCCTTCTCACACACTGCTGGTAACCATGTCAAGCTGACTGCCGCCGCCTGAACTTTATTGCAAAATCAAAGCTAATACAAGTAGCATTACGCTAAAGACCGGAAATAACGAACAAAGTTCAAGGCTAGTACATTATACTGGTTTTGTGTTAAAACTTAAAATCTTTGGGTGGGTGGGCGGGAAAGTCAGCAATGGCGGACGCAACAAAAGCAACTGCCTGCCTGATAGATCACATGACCTATACCCAGGCCCCAGAGGTGTGCAAGAAAAACATTTTTCACTTACTTCATTTCACTCAGCCAGCAAAAAATTACTCTTGTATTGTATGTTCATGTTCAAGGAAATCTATACTTATATCAAAATATGTAAATTTACTTGTATTAAACGGTTTTGTAAATCCCTCTATAAGTAGTTGCATAACAATCTTATTTTATTTATTTATTTATTTATTTATTTATTTTTAATATAAATATAGATGTGGCCCGCCTAGATTGGCCCAGGCTACCTGCGGGTTCGCGCTGTTGCTATTATCAAGTATTTTTAACTTAATCTGTATATCTATTTCTGTAAAAATTGTAAATATGCGAGTCATAATAATAAAAGTTGTATAATAATAAGTTATGTTTTTTTTTTTCTCTTGCAGAGGAATCCTGAAATCTCCCACATTCTAAACAACCCTGATTTGATGAGACAGGTGAATTGTATATTAAAGATTAGTTTAAAATTTATAATTTATTATTAGTTATTTGATATAAAGATACCCTAGCAGTGGCAGCTGTTCAAGGAAATCTGTCTTGTTATATCAAAGGTAAATTAAGCAGGATTTTCTCCACGTGTTCAAATTTCCAAAGTAATCAAGACTTATGGTAGCTTGTTGTAATTTTAGGTATACTCATCTACCAACATACCTAGCTAATTTCTTAAATGGAGAAATAATAGGCTGGTAACTGGAACAATGAAACTAACCTTCCACCAAAGTCCAATTGTTGCTACTTTGCCAGCAACAAATCAGCAGTTCTACAATGTTAAACAAACAGCTCCATCCTGTTAATTTAATTCTTTAACTTAAATTCAATTCTTGACATGTATGCATTTTGTGTCACACTTGCCTGTAATACTTGCAGACAATGGAGATGGTACGGAATCCTTCTGTGATGCAAGAGATGATGAGAACACATGATAGAGCACTTAGTAACTTAGAGGTACCATACCATACCACAAAAGTTCCCATTATTTTGAATTTGCCTCCTGAAAATCAAGGCAATTGCTTGGGCATTTTCAATTAACTTGCTGAGTACCCATATAGATGTAGGGCATCACCTAATTAAGTGGCTGTTGAAAGATGACCTATGCTGACCCCTTCACAATTCGTGAAATCCCTTTTTAAGCTGGCCAAACACAGGTTTTTGATACCTGTGCCTCATTCAGCTTTTTCAAAAACCTTGCATCCTTTGGTCTCCGAAAATGACATGTCAATTTTTTGTGTGACTTACTATATATATGCACTGCATTTAACTAGGTTCTTTTAGTAATAAGGAAAAACCTGAAAAATTGCTTGGTTCTTTGCATCTCGACTTTTCCTGATGTGCTATTCTAACAAAAGACTAAAACCTACAACACAGTGTCATTTATGAAGGAAATTGTACCAACAGCGCAGGCATAGAGTAAATAAAATGATAGCCTGTGTAGCAAGCATTCCCATACATAGAGCTTTTTTGCACTTAAATTGTAAGTAAGCCAACTGTAATTTAATTTGCTTGATCATATTGTAATAGATGTATTGTGACTAGTGCATGTATAGATAGTGTAATTATAAGTAGTGTAAGTAGCAAGTACAGTGTAAGTGAAAATGCAAGTATAATATTAGTACTGTAAGTAGTGTAAGTGTTTGTCCTGTAAAAAAAATTGCACTTAAAAAAAAAACCTACAACCTACAACTGGGTCATTTATGAAGGAAAATTGTACAGACAGCGAAGGCATAGAGCAAGTAAATTGGTAGCCTTCGTAGCAAGCGTTCCCATATGAAGAGCTTCATGCATGTAAACTGAGAGCGATAAATTGACGAAGCAGGGGGTGGTGGGGTGAGGGGGGGGAGCAATTTACCACACATTATTATAATTTTCTTTTGACCATCAAGCTTGCTAAAATCATAATAGTGCTATCTATTCATTCACAAAAAAACCCTGTGGTTTAACTTTAACTGTTTATTAGCTTGATGGTCATTTCATTCTCTTGCTGCTAGAAATTAAAATATTTAACCATTGAATTATAGAACCGACCAGAAATTAGAAGCCTTTGTTTGAAAATTGTCAGCGCAAGTAAATTTGCTTTTGCAGAGAAAAAACAACCAGTCGCCGGCTTCTAAAATTCAGTCTCACGTTATCTGGACACAAAAAACGACTCAGTAAAGCTAAGCAACGTGGCCAAATAAGACTATCAAAGATTGGTTCTCCTTCCCTGGTTCCTGCTGATCTTCACGCATGATCAGTCTCCTTTTGAATATTTGCAGACTAATTGAGTGTATATAAACAGGAAAGACAAACCCTGCTGTGTCTCTATTATAAGCAAGTGTCTAAACCTCAATAATCTAGTAATTCCAATTGGAGCTAACTGAAAATAAATATTACATGACGCCAGTCACGTAATACATGTAGCGTGTTTAAACTTATATTTTGGGCTTCATCTGTAGTTTTATGTACCTTGCGTGAAATAATGAAACAATGTTGTAATAACGACATGGATCAACTCTCTTTTTGTATATTTCCCACAAAGCAAGGCCCACAAATGGAACAAAAACAGACTAGAGTGCTCAACAATAGAGTTCTTTGAACATGCCACATTATGCAAATTTCAGAAGAGACTGTCGCAAACCTTTGCATTTTACCTGTGTGAACCTCGATTGCCCAGAAATATTTTTCCATATTATTATAGTAGAAACGACACTCTTTTGCCCAGTACTTGTTTTAGTACCATATCGGACATACCAAGATGCGTTTTAAGCCCGTAAAACTACGCATATTTTGCCGTTTTCATAGGGGCTTTAGAAGGGAATTCTTCAACGGTCGACGGAATCCTTCAAAATGCTTTAAAAAGTTAAAACTTCCTATTGTTAGAAAGAAGAAAAGTAAAGCTCTTATTCTAAGTTTACCCCGAGTTCTAGTTTTGTAAATTGTTTCAATGCGAATACCGAGAACTTTGTCGATTTTCCAGATATTTTTTGCATATTTAATGAGGCAAAGAGCTATAGTTTCTTTTTTTGCAAATTTCTCGAAGACTTTAAATTCTAAGAAAATCTGAATAATATTTTCAAAAGTGGCTCCCTAAAAACGTTCTTTAGGCAAAGTTTCAGGATTTTCGATTTTTCTAACCTGGCCAGCCATTCTTGATATTTCCAGTCAGTGACTCTTAAAACAGCAGCTGAAAGATTTTAAAAGCTCTTGCCAAATCCAGCGGGTAATATGGCCACCAAGTCTTTACCCTCTAAAAGATGGTTTCTTCTTAGTAAAATTGAATACCATTCTGACACCTTGAGGCTAATAAATCTTCGCTGGGGCTAGCACAATCCACTGTGGGAAAAAAGATGGTGCTTGTACATTTTACCACAATGCCTCATGAACCTAACACAGCCTCTAAGGCACAAAGAAAACCAAATTTTTACAACATTTGTCTCTGTACTAAGGACATTGTGTAGCCTAGGTTTAAAGATTTTAGAACTCTTCTATACGTTTTTATGAACATTGTTAAGGTTTTGGTGCACTATGAAGTATGGGTAAATATACCATTCACCATCTTTTATCGTATGGAGGATTTCACAAACCTTCCCCCACGACATTGTGTAAGTCACGCTCAAGTTATTCCTGGAATCATTCAAGCGAATTTGATTCACTTGTCAATCAAGATGGCCAGGCCGCACCAATCAGGAGCCCCGTTTGTGGGCAAACAGGTTTTTCAAAATCTTGGGCAAGCATTCCTTCTCTCGCCTCACCACCTCACCACCTCTCGCTTCAATTTATGCGTGGCCAGAATGCTGAAAAGCTCTTCATACTCACTACGATGGCTAACAAAATGATTGCTCTGACTATTGTCATCATTTGTTTTTATAACCCTTATGTGTGTGCGGCTAGACTACACACCAAAACTGTGTTTGGAAACCTTAAAAAAAGTAGCTCAATACATGAGATGTACCTTGGCAATTAGCAGCCTGGCCTTATATAACTGTTTTGTTTCTTTTTTGTTTTGTTTTGTTTTTCTTGTTTCATTTTGACCTTCTTTCTTTGACAGTTCGCCAGTTGGCAACTTAACTTTCACAGAAATTAAATTTAGTGTGGTGGTGGACTGATAGTCATTGTAACATTGATGTATGTGTTGAACTGTAGAGTTTGCCTGGAGGTTTCAATGCTTTGCAACGAATGTACACAGACATCCAAGAACCTATGCTGAATGCTACACAAGAACAGGTAGAGTATGGACCTCAGAAAACCTATCACATTGCTACTGGCAATTTTATTACATTTATCTTGAAAAAAGATACCTCTAAAAATGTTACACATGTATGATTTGCGTCAAGTTCAGTTTGTGTTCAAGGTAATAGCAGGGTTTGTATGGGTCATCGAAAACCTGTCATGGAATTCAGGAATTTTGTTTTCCAGACCTGGAAAGTCATGGAATTTAATTGTTTTTAATTGAAAAGTCATGGAAAGTCATGGAAAATAATAGTTAGGTCACATGTAATAGACTGAGAAACAATTATTTGTATGTATTGTTGACAAAAGAGAGCAGCTTGGCCCCAAATTCATCTCTTGTCTGTGTCTGTTGAACTGACTTTTTGTCTTAAAATATCCTGAAATAAGAACATTAATTTTGAACATTTTGAAAGTGACAGTTGAACTTAAGGTCACGGAAAAGGTATTCCAAAGTCATGGAATTTGAAGAGCTCAAAGGAGTACGAACCCTGTAAATATAGTCTTAATTGTTGTTACATTTAGCTACATGTAGCCCAGAGAGTATATTTTTTCCTCTCACTAATTGATCTCAGACAAACTGTTTCTTTTGACAAGTTACACAAGAAAGTAGTTAACTTTAAGCTTTGATTGTTAAATCCCTTGTTAGAGTAGTTTGGCTTACTCACTACGTTATTACAGTACCATGTAGACTGTAAACTGATCAGTTACTTTTTGTAGTTACAGCGGGCACAGAATAATCCATTTGCTGCATTGTTTGGAGGAGCGTCAGGTAATTTAATCTGCAGTTTTTACAATGGTAATGATCAATTGAAGTATCTTTGACCTTCCTTTTTCATTCTGTGAAGTTTATATGAAATAATTCATATATGAACTGCGGTTGTAGATGGAAGGTGAGGGATGATCATCGCAGTAAAGTTTCCAATTTAAGCAATTGGAAAGAAGAAGCCTGAAAAAAATCAGGGCTTCAACGGGATTCGAACCCGTGACCTCCGCGATACCGGTGCGATGCTCTACCAACTGAGCTATGAAGCCACACATTGGGAGCGAGGTCAATTCAGTGAGTTCATATCTTCCCGTGAGGAGTGAAATGATGTGAAGTTTATATGAAATAATTCATATATGAACTGCGGTTGTAGATGAAAGTGAAGGATGATCATCGCAGTAAAGTTTCCAATTGATTTTTTCAGGCTTCTTCTTTCCAATTGCTTAAATTGGAAACTTTACTGCGATGATCATCCTTCACTTCATTCTCTCGCTAAATATTGTTTACCTGTTAGATTTCTTTTAAAATAATAATAAATGGCTTTAGCTTGGAGCCAAATGTTTTTAGAAACAGTTTTCATCACACTTTGGTCTGACAAGTTTCAGACTTGGGAACCAGGCTTAACATCCGATTCCTCAGTGCATGGTCTGTCATTTATTTCTCTGAAAATATTTTTATTTAACCGTACATGTAAGAGACTCTAGTATAACAGAACATTCTCTTGAGAAGCCAACAGTGTTTATTTCTTTGTTGCAAATTGGCTCATTATTTTTCGTGTTCTTTAAAATTTAACTTATGCACTGGCACATTCAAAGCACTTCAGAGTCAGAATGTTATATTTAACAGGCAAACAAGGAATTATCAGGGCAACCAGATTCACAGGTTTGGTTATCCTGCATTTGAAACAGGGACAACCAGGGCTATTTTTGAATTTCAAGCACTAACTGCTTGTTTATTTCCTTTTTAGTGATGCTAAATCTATATACGGTATTTTGTGTAATTTTTAGGCACTGGTCCTGGGTCAAACCCAAACTCCAATCCTCAGCAAGGCACTGAAAACACCTCTCCTCTTCCCAACCCATGGTCTCCCTCTTCACCATCTGCTGTGCCCACTCAGCCAAGCACTGAGTCTAGCACCCAACCAGACCAACAACAGTCAGCCCCTCAGACAGTAGCGTCTACAACATCCACAACTTCAACCACAGCTAATGCTTCTCCTGCATCTAGGTTAGTGTGAAAACCACTTATAAATACATGTAACCCTGCTTTGGGATTGGGTTGTCCTGGTAGAAAAGGAGAAGAACAGTGGTGTAATGTTACTATTATAGTGTGAGGAAAGAACTCTGCAGCTTTCAGTATATTTATAGAGCGGTTTTCAACTGAGTGTCATAAAACCAAAACCAAACCAATCAATTACCGATTAGACTACTCAGCCAATCTCAAACCGTAGTTAAACCAAAACCAAAACCAAAGTAATTGTCTGATTTGTTTTGACACTTAACAGGGTGTTCATTAGGCATCGGGGATCGGAGAATTCTCCGGCTACTACGTAGAATTCTCCGGCTAAATTTCAAAGGCTTCGCTCGTTCCGTGAAAGAGCTTCGCTCTTTAAAAAATCATTCTCCTGTTACTTTACACTACTCTCCTGCTATTTCAAATATTAACGAAAACCCTGACTTAATTGACGCTCTATTATGTGTTGTAGCAATAACAAAATCCAGGATGTGAATTTGAGAGATATCAGATTTCCAGGTTATGTATAGATTTTTAATCTGGTCATTTGTTTTCAGTGGCAGCAGTGGCCCAACTGCTAATCCCCAACAATCAGGTAGTCCTATGAGCAGCATGTTCCAGACACCTGCCATGCAGTCCCTTATGCAGCAGATGTCCGGTAATCCTGATATGTTCCAGAACATGATGCAGAGTCCATACATGCAAGACATGATGACACGAATGGTGCAGAATCCTGACCTCATGGCTTCTGTGAGTTCAGTTACAACTTAAAATAAACTCTTTTCTGTTTGATTATAAGGCTGTAACAACTACAGTAGATTATTTGAATGGGGAAAAACAGGTGTACAGAAAACAAAAGTTGTACAATAACCTTAAGGTATCAGTATACCTAAATTTCCCTCAGAAATGCAAATTTCTAAGTATGTCTTAATCACTGGTTAGAAAATTTGATGGTCTTTCTTTTTCAAAAAAAATTGGAATGATAAGCTCTTTTGGTTTTAGAGAAACAGAGGATAACTGATTTTGAATTTGTAATTACCACTGACAGAGTGTTGACAAATTCCTGTCGTTGCTAATGAATTCACTCTCTGTCGTGTGTACCTTGACCAGAGTTATAATTATCTTTCACAAGATCGCACTTTGATTCTCTGTTTCTATAAAGTTGTCCATAGTTTCTTCATATGATTATTTTATTTGCCGTTTCTACATTCTGAATTTTTGATGTCTTCAAAGAAACAGAAACATGCCCTTTTTCTTAGGGAAAGAAGTTGAAACGGTGCGAGAACAAGCGTTTACTCTGCTTCAAAGGTTGCCAATTTTGCAGCAAGCGATCATGGCTCTGATTATGATGGTGATCATGGCATTCACTTGTTGCAGTTTGTTTTCTCACTGTTTGATCTACAGTCAGCTTGTGATATTCTTCACATCTTTATAAAAGTTTGTCTCTGATTAGTTAAATTCAATCTGGTTTAAAAGTTATGGCTTTGTTTGCCAAAGGATCCCACAAGCATTCTAATGTTAAACTTTAGAATGGTATAAAAAGAAAATAAAGCAATCTTTGAGAAATCAAAGACACTCTTTTGATGGGTATTGTCTAAAGAATCAATTTAGATATTAATCACATTGCCATTATAATCGAGCTCTGTAAACGAACTTGATAAAGGTAAAAGGGTAAACATTGCTTCATTACGTAAAATTTCTATTAAAACCTTTTGTATTTTCAACAAAACAAAAGAACATATTCATATTCCTCTTTATTACTTGTAAGCTTTCAGGAAATGTATACTTTATTGGTTTTTTTTTTTTTTTCAAAGCCTCTGCACAAAAACGCACTGATGTAAGACGGTCATTATGATCTCAGCCAGTTACTCTTCTGGGTTATTCTTCCAATTCTTTGGAAAATTAACCTTCTACTAATACAAAGAAAGCCCCCTTTAAAACTTTGTGACAGTCCTGTGTTTGGAAATAAAGTTACTGTAAAGTCCTGGACCTTTCAATATATAGATTTATTAACCCGTTTTTACGTTCTTGAGGTATTATTGTGTTTAAATTGCATTTAGATGTACTTAATCCTTTGCTTTGCAGATAATACGGTCAAATCCAATGTTTCGAGGAAATAGCCAACTAGCAGATCAGGTAGGGTGATCACACTTTATGTATACCAACCTGTAGTTACAAGTTGATAGATATACGTGTAACTGTGTGAATCTTATCTTTTATTATTTTATTTTACAGGTTATGTCGAGGCTTCCAGAATTTATGTCACAGGTAAAATGTTTTTGTTCTTCCATTACATTGATAATACTAAAAGTATCCTCATTGTAAAGCTGCTCTGGCATTTGGCATTAATTTTGTTGCAAGTGGCTCTGTTAAGAACATTAACAGACTTCCTTTGAAAATTATGATGATTACTAGAGGCAATAATTATTATGGTCCATGCCTAAAAGCTGTGAAAAAACAATGCCTTCCTGTTACAGATGCAGAATCCTGAATTCCAGCAAGCCATGTCCAATCCCCGGGTGATGGAGGCCATGATGCAGATACAGCAGGGAATGATGCAGCTGCAGGCAGAAGCACCAGGCCTGGTACCAGGAGTGGGGTAAGCTGCTTGCTAGATTTCATCATTATTTTCATACTAAATAGATAGCACTATAGTGCTAACAATGCTGTGGGAAATGGTTTTTGCCGTTTACCCGATTAATCTGGTCAGATATGATTAATACAGTGTATAATGTCAGGGTAATTCTGGCTCTTTTTTCCAAAACTTTCAACTGTCTCTCTGCACCATACAGGAAGTTCTATTTGCTGTTGTTTAATTGCATTATTTCTTCTGAGATGTGCTCTCTGGCTTATTTCTCTGTCATTGTTCAGGTTTGTTTCTTGTTTTGTTCCCTCTGTCCCATCTCTAGCTCCTGCTGTGGGCTGCTGTTTCTGTCACTGGGTAGTCTGATGATCTGAGACAGTACTTGTTTGTGTTGAGTTTCTCTTGGCAAGGTTAGTTTTGTTTTCCAGTGACCGCCTTGGGCTAACATGATTATCATTTGTTCTCAATTAGTTTGATGGGTGCTCCACTTTCCACCATGACCACAGGCTCAACAACTTCTACAGGCAACACTGCTACCACTAGTCCATCTCAGACATCAGGTTAGTTTTTACTTATTTACAAGGGTTCCAACTTGCCCATCAATTTCTCAGCACCTAGCTTGACAGGAAACACCATCTCTAGATTGCTTGTGTGTTTACTTTACTATCTTTCAAATTATCAGACTTTTCAGTATGGCTTATGAATTTGAATCATTTACATTGCTGTTGTGTAGCTTTTTAAAATTAACTAGTTTGTATTGGAAATGGCTCTTGGCATAGAGCTGATTGTACAATAAATTTGGTCAAATAGATTTTACATAACTACTTAGCAGACCGGAAATAAGATAATTTTGTATTTTTCATGTCATAATGAAAAACACTGGTTATATCCCAAATTCTCACCGTCAGTCTCGGCCATTGAATATTTATATGCTTACTTCATGTTCAGGTACACCAGCTGGAACACAAAGGCCAGCACAACAGAGTGTCCCAGGAAGTACTCCAGGAAACACCCAGGGGAATCCTCAGGGGAATCCTCAGGGGAATCCCCAGGGGAACCAAATGGCACAGTTCATGTCTCAAATGATGCAGGCTATGACTCAGGTAGTAGTCCTTTAAGCTGTAGATATAGCATACATGTAGCATTTTTGAGGTAAATTGTCAAAGAATGAAACAAACATCAGTATTTTTCAATGCTAGTTAGCTGTTATCATGGAATGTTTATTTGGCTGTATTGTAGGTTGTGCTGTGTTTTGTCCAACCATGCATGTCATTGGCTGTATTGAAATCCTTTATTATACTGTGCGTGTTGTTGTTGCAATTTTTTTTTTTTCGAATTTTGTGGATGGATGGTGACAACTAGCATTTTATTTTCTTTTAGTATAATAATTGTTTGGTTACATTTGACTTTACTAGGGTCAGAATCCTGAAGTGATATACCGCACTCAGTTAGAACAGCTAGCTCAGATGGGCTTTGTAGACCGTACTCGGAATATTCAAGGTAGGACTTGAGAGTAACTGCTGGGCTTGAACGCTTAGAGAATGCACTATTTTATCAATATCTCGTTTTCGTTTCAAGTTTCACTTCTTTACTCTATAACATTGGAACACACACACATATAGAGGCAAAACCTGTGCAGAAGCTGACTTGTTCTCCTTTCTCGACGATTTTTGAAGGAAAGGAGGAACTGTTGTGAATTTCATTATGTATAAAAATGTAACAATTTGTTTCCGTGTCCTTTTCAGCTTTAGTTCAAACTGGTGGCGACCTCAACGCTGCCATTGAAAGACTTCTACTGCAGTGACGATTAATGGACAATGAATGCTTTCCTTTCACATCTGGCAAGCTAATGAAAATTGCGAAAAAAAGAAGCTGCAGTAATTGATGGCATTTCAGAGTCAAATGTCTTTTTTCTTCTTTCTCTGTCTCATGAACAGTGTAACAGGAAATGCAACTAACTAGCAAGCTTCTATCGTCTGTTACCTGGCTAATATCGCGGAACATTAATTGCTTATTATGTGTTTTGTTTGGGAGTCAGCCGGGGGAACTGTTTTTATCGTATAGTTTGTTCATGCTTAGATATCATACACAGAAACATTTGACTATTACAAGTGAAATTGCAAGTGCTACGGATTTTGATACCCTGAAAATCTATAATTTCCTTCTTTTCCTTTGTTTTTAAGTGCCTGCTACCTTAAATGGCAGTACCGGTTACTCAATTCAGTTACATTTATAAAAAATAATGGCTTTTCTCAAGTTCATTTTGTCAAACTGTAAATTAAGAACAGTTATTGGATGGTAGTCCCTCTCTCGTGGGATTTATCGTGATCTGCTTTTGACAAAGTTTATTTATAGCAGTTCTTTTGAATTTTTAACACACTTTCGGACTGCAATCAAGGCATTTTGGGTCAAGCACAATATCAGATTGTTATGGAACTAATCTTTTTGAAACTGTTTCAAAATATGTAGAGCCTGGAAGGATAATGGAAACTCCTTTTCAACCGGGAAGTACCCTTTTCTTATAATATAAATATTGTTAAATATTGTATTAGGCGTCTAAGAAATGGCCAGTGCGTAAGACGTTCAGTGTGGATTAATGTACAATTCTGAAGCAAACAATAGTTGTCTGCTCAACATCTTTTCAGAATACCATTTTTATTTGTGAACCTTTTTACAGAAGCAGCTTGTTCCCTACAATTGAATTGTTTTGGTGTGTGTTTCTTTTTCTGCCTTGTATAAGTGATGCCAAGCACGAAATGAGTGCCACATATGATATTGCTCATGTTAGTGCTGAACTTAGTGTTACAGATGCCAAGTAATCTCAAGAAAAGGTTGACTAATACTCTAAGTACTCGGTACTTAGCCAATCAGACACTGGCATAGCAATGCTTCATTGGAAGAATAAAATTGTTTGTAAACTGCGAACAGAACTGTTTCATGGAAGGTTGCCAGAAAATTTCAAAACGTATTTGACGGGACAAAATGAAGTATAGGTACTTTTAAAAAGATCACAATGTTTCTTTTAATTTGTAACACATTTTTCATCGAACTCACATCTTTGTCAGTTACAGAGGTATCTGAAAATTCGTTTGAACTTATAACAACCTAGAGAAGCATGCCTAAATTAACTATAGTTACATACGAAAATTGATAACAAAGAAGGCATAAATAATAACAATGCCTGAAGCATAAGTGTTTAATTGACGTAATTGACTTGTTGATTTAAAGTAGGCTTTTCCCAATTGACATGCAGTGCATAGCCTTCTTGAGTTTGAGTTGAACGTTTGTGAAGGTAGAACAAAGGATTTAAAGGCAATCTGTAGAACAAGATTGTGGCAAGGTGCGAAGCTTTGTAACTGGTTAAAGATGTGAGAAGACCTTTCAGAAGAGAGATAATAGAAGAGAATGATCGTATAAATGAACCATTCTGCATACTCGAAACTGAAGTAATAATAAAAGAAATTTAGCTGCTCAGTTAAATCTGGGTGCACTTGAAAAGACTCTGTAACTTGAAAGGTCAGCTCTCTCTGAGATGGACATAGTCAGGCTCTTGGTCAGTGGAAACAATTAAGTCAGTTTTAATGCCCAAACAAAGACTGATCAAATTACATGCCAGGCATGGAACAAAGCTCCAGAACCATGGGAACTGAACTCAAGTTTTCCTTGGCTGCTTATTATAGCGGAGCTCTTGCGCGCCAAAGGCAGAGCCCCATACCCTAGAAAATTTGGTAACCCATCGATCCCAAAATATTTTGGTTGTCACGTCAATGTCCGTCCGTACGCCAAGCCCAATCCCTTAAAAAATAAGAGAGCAGCACCATTACCATAGGTTGGAAATCCATGTTACTGTTATTTGAAGCTGTCAAAACAAGGTATCCGCTGACCAGTATTACGAAACCATATCACGGGCTCAGGTTTAGATCTCGTTGAGGTCGCGTGTATTTTGAAGTTGACTGCCGACCGGGTACTGGTTTTCGATTGGACCGCAGGCTCAAGTCGGGTTATTACTCTGGGGGAGACGGAGGGATTACTTGCAAAGGCAAAATTTCGGCGCAAATTAACCCCTGGCGCGTTGTTGACTTTTCATCTGACATATTCCTTGAACAATCGTCTCTTGGAAAGTCCCTGATATATTGCATACGTAATTTCTACAATCTTGGTTACGCTTATTGGGTATATTTTGTTAATATTTAACTGGAAAAAATAGCGAAACCACATGCTTAAATTGATCATTTTTCTCAAACATGCTATTTGACGTTACTTTTCCCAGTGATCCTAGCTACTCGAAAATTTCCTCAGCGTTATTCTATTAACAACCAGCATGAACCCTCCCCTAGTTCCTGTTTGGCTTTCACCTAGGCCTTCATGGTCAATTCATTTTGTGACGCAGGCAAGACGAATGGACTACGTGACCTTAAAGAGATTGACCACGGCGAAATATTGGGGCTTAGGAACTAGGCAAGCATGAGCCCCAAAAGGAAATGCACGCGTATAGGGAATCTGGGTTATTTTATGGCTGTTTCTACGGAAATTTCGCGGGTGCTATTCAGAAAAAAAAAATTGTACCTGCGTTGTTTTAAGGAAACTACCACAAACTATATTTCAATAGAAAGGTCATGAACCGTAGAATTTGGAAAAAATATCCACTGTTTTGGCCGTGCCTTTGTTGAGAAGAAAGAAGCAGGGAAAGGGACAACAACCGGTTGTCATTCGGCTTCAAACGAAGGCAGTGATGTTTAAGTACTGCACAGTGTTAATCAGCATGCGTCAATCTCTCAAAATGTGTCGAGGTTTTCCAGTATTCTTATTGGCTATTTTTTTTACAATAATTGTCTAATTTCTCGCGCGCTGATTGGCTCATTTTTACCATCAATAAGAGTACAGACGAATAAAATTTTAATTTATGCAAGCTTTCAGGTTCAACTTTCAGCTGTCAAACTATCAACTTTTTAACCAATGAGATTTTATGGACTTTTTTAAGTAGCCAATCAAAAAGCGAGAAAAGCTATTGACAATGCTCGCGTCATTTTAAATAAAATACACTTATCTTTGTTAAATTTACGGCAAGTTTACGGCGTCTTTTCCCCTTATTTATTCCCGGCATTTGACCATTTTGGGATCTTGTTATTGTAAAAAACAAATTGACGTCAGTTTTTTTATGCGTCTTTTCTCTTATTGACGATAAATTTCGTCATAACATTGTCAAAGTTTACTGCGGAACCACTTTGACAATGTTATGACGCAGTTTATCATCAATAAGAGGACAGACGCATAATAAACTGACATCAATTTGTTAAATAGACCCATAAAGTTATAGTCGTTATTGTATCGAATAATTTGCCGACTCTGTTGGGTTCGCGCCTGTCACAAGAGAAATATCCACGATATAAAATATCCCCGACACCCTTTGCTCCTCGATGCTTAAGTGATGTTCTGGCCAAATTTCATGACATTCAGCCAATTTTACATACCCTATTAGTTCACAAGCATGTCACGCCTTTACTCGGATGTATGTCAACAGAATATGCCGCCATCCAATGAAATCATGGCACCCCTAGCGTTCACAGCGAGCGAAATGATTTTCGCGGGAATTCCAATGGAATAATAATGCAACAGTCACATTCTCCTTGTTGAACTTCAGTGTGCATCTATGGAGCAGTCTTCACCTCTCGTAAAAAATGGGAAAAACCAAGAGAAATAAGCGGGGTAAGAGTACAGGTACAAATATGCATGATCCCTTGTCGCTGTCGGTCAATCGTGTCTTCGAGAAATTCCACTTTTGTCCTCTTCCTAAGTTTTGGCTTCGATTTTTTCGCTGTTCAAGGTGTTACCGCCATATCGCGAATCTCGATCGGTCTCCAAACATCGTTTTAAAAAAGAACAAACGTTTAAGTTTATTCACGACAACGAGTTNTCAAATGAATTGTCGCGACTCCGCCCAATATACAAGAATTTATTTTCTCCAAAGAAGCGGCCAATATTGCTGTCATGCTGCCTCAAAATCACCTTTAGTTTATACTAATGTCCCAAGCCCGGGGAAAGGAACGCACATTTCAGCGAGGCCAAATTCAAACCTCCCAAATGCCTCTTTCATTTTTATTTGTTTTCATTTGCAGCTTGCATTTCATGATTTGTACAATGTATTTCGTCTTTTTAAAATAGAATTGCAAAACTCAAAAACAAAGGCAGCAATATAAATTTTTATTTAAAAAAAGGCTGCAGCACTTGCATGGATACACCAATTATTGAGTTTGACCATAAATAGTATTCTTTCTCAGTCATGACCTGATCACTTTGCTGAATGCTTTATTTATAAAATTTGATTGATTAATACCATATTAGTGTCTCATGGAAAATCTCTGCCCCAGGACCCCTCAACCTCCCCACCCCCCGGAGAATTTTATCTGGGCTCCTAAAAAAGTGGCTTGGGCTCCTAACTTTTGGTGGAAGGAGCCCAAAGGGCCCCTTAAAAATTTCCTTAGGCAACAGCCTTGCACTTGAGTCATTTTCATGGTCTGTACTTTATTACGCCTATCTACTTGAAGCAGTTGCTTCAAGATGTTTGCATGGGAGTGCAGCAACTCAAATAGCAATACTTGTACATTGTTGAATTGATTAAGTATAAAGATGATTTCCAGTCCATACTGCACACTCTTGAGAGTTTGTTTGCGTTTTTTGTTTTGTTTCATGTAAAACATCACAAAATGTAAACATTTTGCAACTACAGCAACTGTACTTACATGAGGTAAATTCAAAGTTTCAAAACAACCGCCATTATGGATACAAAGCGGTCAAAGTTTTATGCTGCTTCATTTCTTTCTCATTACATATCACTTGATGAAAGACCTTCACAGCTGTAAAAATCAATGAGGCTTTTGGAAAAAGAATTTGAAAGTCCTCAAAGATAAGGTATGTGGTTTGTAATGAATAACATCGATTCGCATTCCACTGAGTGAGATTTATAATCTCTATAAACATTAGGGTGCTGAGACTGTGTAGTACGGCCAGAAATCATCTTTAAGTATATATATAAAAAAATCTACCGATGCTGCAATCTTTAATGTACTCCTCTCACACGTGCAACAGTTGTGTAACTGGAGGATACATTTTAACTGTCAAACACCATTCTGCTGACTACATGTACATGTAAGTTAAATTGCAACATGTAATCTTATATATTTACATGTAACTATGGGTCAGACTACTTTTCTATGGGCAAATAGTCAATGAAGGGTAGCACTCATAGAAAACAAGGGTGAGTTGTCTAATAGTTTAAGTAGACACTGCAAAGGATTACAGTTCACCAAACCTACAACTTTGTGTATTTTTGAGCCTAAAGTTAAGAACGATGAAGGTTCAAGAGCAGCATGCACAAGATCATTGACAACCAGTGAATAGAAAACGATGATGGAACCAATCAGATTTGCAGATTTCCAACAGGACTCAGCTGAGTGGCTACTACTGAAAGATAAAGAAAAATGTGGAGTACATAATAATAAGAAATACCCACCAGCAATAAAGAAAGTGACAAAGTAATCAAGCAGTTCTTCGTAGTCCAGATCAGTGTCTTCATTTACAGACTTAAGGATATAACTGAGAATATCTGAAGGCACCTCTTCCTCATTTGTTAAGGCTTTTCTTCTTTCATCAATGATTTTCTTTCCTGTATCTCGTAAGAAGTGAACTGCAGACACAACTGAATTTTGATAGCCATAACTTGTAAAGTCAATCGCATGAAGTGGATGAGATAGACACCAAATTGGGGCTGCTAAACATTCCCTTATGGCAGTGGGGAATGGAGAATCAGGGTCACCAATCGCATTTAAATCAATTCCAAAGGCCACCTGGAAAAGAAATAGACCAATTTAACTAAACTATCTCCACTACTCAATATGATGGGTTACTAATTAAGTAGTTGGCTCACAGAGTCATTGTTCCCTTTCAAAAGCAGTTGACAACAACAGTCCAAACAGTATGCCGATAAACAGCCATTAGATCTAATAGATGGCTGACAGATGGCTGAGAGTCAGCCAACAGTCAACTGACAGTGTACCAACAGTTTTGTATATAATTTGGCACAAAGGGTAGCAATGAAAAGCACCCTCTGGCATGGATGAACTTGGACAAGTTTTGTTTGGTGCGTCTGATTACAAAAATAATATTATGAATGCAAATTCTCACTAAAACTATGGGCACAAAATCAATTTCATGTCAGGGTGAAGTGTCTACTTTTAGTGCATCTAGACCAATGAACTTAAACAGACAAAATGAGATGGATAATCCATCTTGATGTATAATGTAAGGAAGGTAAGGTGAAATCTACACACGATAAGCTGCCCATCAGGTTGGCGCTTATCTGTGGGTGCTTGGATAATTCATGATGATAATTAAACGATCTGCTTTTGTGCATCTAGAACTCACTCCTTTTGATACAATAATAATTATTGTTCATCATGTTTTGATAATACAGTAGATGTATACACAACTGACAAATTAGCTGCAGATGCATAATCTGTGAGGAGAGATTCATTCATCTCAAGTGGTTTCTTCAGTGTTGCACCTTGCATGTGTACACTTGTCTTTCCCTTTTTTATCCACACCCCCAACCCCTCCCTATGGAGGGCAACCTAAACCACAGGGCCTCTTGGAGAATTTTTTTCAAAGGAGACAACATAATTTTGCACCTCTCAGTTGAAAACTTCAAAGGTGTCGACAACAGAAAACTGGGCTGTCTGAAATCTGCCCTCTGTAGGGGGGAGGGGAGGGGGGTGCATGTTTTACAATGTCCCCATCTGGGTCATTATTTGAGATCACAAAACAAATTGTGAAACATTACCAAATGTACTCTTGCCTTACCTTTCCAATTATGTCCAAAGTAATTCTGTTAAACTCATCCGCCATTTTCACTTCGGTCTTTCCATCTGCTAAGTCAGTCAGCCTCGCCAAAAACACGTCACAACTTGAGTTAAACTGGATCAGAAGTTCCTTCAAGTATTTCCTGTGGAATGCAGGATTCACTGCAAGGCGTTTGATCTTCCATTTCTCATGGTCTGTCTCCGTAACAAGCCCTTTCCCCATAAATCGCTCTCCGAAGAGATAGCCAAGTCGATCGTAAGACCAGGCATCTTTGGGAAAATTCGACGTTATAAGCACTTTCTTGACTATATCAGCATCTGAAACGTAGACGAGTGGGATATGAAAAATCCAAATAATCATGACAGGGCCATGCTCTTGGACCAGATGTCTCAACACTTGAAATCCATTCAAGTCGTTCTCTTCTTTCAAGCGTTGGAGTAACTTGACATTTCCCCACAAAAATCCGTCCCGTTTGGGGCCTGGAATGTGGTCAAGTGTCTTATGTTTATGATGCAGGTAGACCAAAAAGCAAAAAGCGAGAGTAAAGGCAGCTAGGCACAAAGATATCAAGAGAAAATACACCGCCGTGAACAACATGGACGCCATTTTGATTTTGTAACACTTCTGCTCAGCGGTAGTGGGGTGGGGAGAAACCTTACATTCAAGTAACCACTTATAAACTCGTTTTTCTTCAAGAATCCTTACAGAAATATAACTTCACTGAAAAGATGTGTCCTGCAACTTCCTTTCAAAGGAAATAAAAACAACAACAACAAAATGAAATCAAACAATGTTTAGTCAGGACAGCATGAAGTGTACTTGAAACTACCCCTAGAAAGTTTTGGCTGCTCTCCCCAGTTTTTTTCGTTCAACAGTAACATTGCAGACCCGAGGCTTGCAGACTCTTTGCAGCGAAGTTATTTCCAGTTAGACTGAATTAGATACACTGTCATCTCATATGGGAGACTGGAAGTCATATTCCTGCCCTGCGACAGAAATCTTTCCTTGTGCAAGCTTTGCTGAAAGAAAGGGGAAGCAGCATTGAGCCATCACAAGTGACCTAAAATGTTTCTTCTATGGCCAGCAGTGCTATAATTTCAATTTTCCCTGACGTTTCTTTAAAATGCCAATTTTTCCTGTCTCAGAATACGATTCTCTGACTTTTCCCTGACCTTGAAGAATTTTTACCCTGTGTATGTATTCAGTCCAGGTCCTGGGGCGGATCTAGGGGGGAATGGTTCGGGGGTTCTGTCGAACCCCTAAATTAACAATTGAGACATTATAACACGCTGACTTGGCCTCAGAATGCGGAAATCCCATTTCTGAGGACCTCAATTTTAACAAATTTTCGGGGGACTGGATGCCCACAGATTCCCCTACAGGGAACCGCCTTCTGTGGTCCGTATCTCAAATCGCCTACCGTAAAATCCTGTAATCCCCTCAGAGAAGACAGAGAAGTGCAGAGCAGAATAACGTGTTTCATTTCTTTACCTCCCCAAGGTGTTCGAACTGTACCATAGTGATACAAATCAAGAATATGAATAATTTAAATAATTATTCATTGCTCATTTGTTTGCCGTTTTAGGCTCTTCTTCATATTCCAAAATACTGTAATCACTTCTGGCGAGACGCAATTGACGCAATTGTCCTCCATACCCCTTACCAAAGGAAGGTGTCCAGCAATCTGTGGGAGATAACTGGGCAAGACAGACAGACTGGCAATGAAAACCTTGTACGGCAAGTTAAGAAAAGAGTCTCACACCCCGAGGGGGAGGGACCCCCGTAAAAAAAGGACGGAGGTGCTCGTTGTAGCTTTTAGGGTACTGTGTACTGTAGCTTCATATGGACATAACAGTGGCGGATCCAGACTTTGAACTAAGGGGGAGGGGGGCGGTTTTGATTTACTTGCCCTATTGGCTTCTCTTCCTTCAGTCATTTCTTCTTTTTCCACCCAAAATAAGTGGAGGGCCCCTCCCCTAGATCCGCCACTGCATAAAAGCACACGTGTTATTAACATTAATCGTTCAGATAGTGGCAGACATGTTAAAATTTTTAGAAACAACGCAACATCTTTCAAAAACATGTTTCAACAGAATTTTCTGTCATTTTCAGTTCAAATTACAAAGTACAGAGTTGAATATATAGTGTACGCAAAATGCTACTTTGTAATTTAAACTGAAGATGACAGAAGATTCTGTTGAAACATGTTTTTAAAAAACGTTGTGTTGTTTCCAAAAATCGTTCAGATCCAGAAATGCTGGGTTGCGCAACATAACAGCATTAAAAAAAAAATTGAAAAATTATTAACTATAAGAAATAACACGCAAACTGCGGTGATAAATATAGCAATAAAACGCATGTTAAAAAACAAAGTTCATTTACTTGACGTTTCGTATGTTTCAACATACATCTTCAGAAGTAACCGTTAGGAATAGAAGTAACAACTAAATTTCAATTTAAAATAAGTAACTAATTAACAATTACAATGACAGAAGCTGAGAAAAATTTGCATATAAACAATGCAAACTAATAAAGATAAAACTTTTCGCTGCTTACACTATCATTTAGAGTGGGTTTTAATTCCCTTATTAGCTGAGTAAAACCCATAGGTGATGTCATGACAAGTGTACTTGCACCTAGGCCCTTGAGAGCAGCGCTTTTGGCTACTCTCCCCAGGTCTTTTGGTTCAAAACCAACATGGCGGCAAATGGTGGGTTCTTAGGATACAGTAAAGACAGTCTGCAGAATCTTTACAGCAAAGTTATTTGCAGAAAGATTGAAATAGATACACTGTTATCTCTTTTGGGAGATAGGAAGTCATATTCCTGTCCTGCGATATTTGTGTGTGGACACACCGCTACCGGGAAATCTTTTCTTGTGCAAACTTTGCTGAAAGATCTAGAGGTGAGAGTTTGTAAAACTTAATTTATTAAGTTGAAATTTTTCTTGAGAGTTTTACCCTCTTTAACGCTTTTTCGATTTAAATTGTATATTATAAAATAACTATTTCAGTCTTCAATATCGTAATCAAATGAAATATAATGCTCGGTCAATTCCAAGCCCGCTTATTTGTCTGTCATTTGACAATTTTTCCTGCCCCAGGGTAGGGTATTTGCTATAACAGAGCTCTAGTCAGCCCTAGGATGGTGCATTGTCAAAAACAATATTTTTTGATCGTTCACTTTTTAAAATACTACATCTTTTGTTCTTTATTTGTAAATTTCCTAATTGCTATCAACACAAAACTACTGATTTAATGAACCTCATTGGAGTCCTACACTTTCAAGCAAATCCAAGTCCCACTCTCTGTGTTTAGCTTGGAATCACTATACCACAAGGAACGCACCGCGTCTTGACCAATCACCAAAATTTTGGGCTTCTTCCATAGGTCAGGCATTTGCATTCTTCCCAGAGCTACACTGTGGGGATTTGTATAAATGACCTGGCTCCACTGGAGAGCATGCCCAACAAATGCCTCTGGGGGCGATGGGCAGGCTAGAACTGACAGATCATAGAGCAATTGCCACACTGATCCAGTTTAGAGAGGTCAGAAAAGAGAGAGGCAACACTTTATCTGGGACAGCTCAGGGTGTTCCAATATTTTTATTTCCAGCCTAAACTTGGGAAAGTGATGTACAGCACTTAAATTAACAACAACAGATAGAGATACTGTAACTCAAGAACTAAATAAATGGGGCTTATCGTCCCGTCATACTATGCTGGGAAACTGCAATGTTGGACCTTGCCCTGACTTACGTTATATAAAGGGGAGAGTTTGAACTGACTAAATTTCTTACTGCTCTTTTTCTTTCCTTTGTTTAACGATACAGCTTCCACATGTATTGGTGAATTGTGTGGAGAGCTTTACAGCAAGATTGATTTTTGAACATGTTCTATACCAGTTGCAAGATTCAGACAAAGAAGATGATTTAACTGCCTCACCGAAATGCGACAACATGACAGACTTCTTGCGACATCTGAAACATAACCTTTTATCAAAGGACCTTGCAAACGAAACGTTTTACATTGTTCTGGACAAAGCAGAGAGACTAAGAGACATTGAGGCAAACATGCTTCCTGCATTTTTAAGACTTCAGGAGCTTACGCAGCTCAATATCTGTGTGATCTTGCTAAGTCAGATTGTATGGGAGAAGTTCCAAGTCGGAACAGGATTTTATGAGCCTATTGTTATGCATTTTCTGGATTATTCAAAGACTGAAGTGCTGCAGATCATGGCAAGAGATTGCCCAGCAACATATCCTGAGGAATTTTTCAAAGCATACTGCCAGCTTCTCATGAGTGTATTTTATTCAGTGTGTAAGGATTTGAATGAGCTGCGGCATCTGGTGAGTGGCTTTTATTTTGAGTTAGGAGTATTGTAGATTGCTAAAAGGGAGTTTGTGGTGGAAATTAGCACACCAGGCACCATTGGGTTGGAATCACTGAATACATAATTTGCTACAAACAGAAGCTTTAATCACCACCTATGAATCTAGCGGATGATAAACAGATAATCTAATTTTTACCATAGCATGGCAAATGTACATAAACCATTTAGGTTCTAGTTTACAGGAGGTGCCAGTGTCCAGACTGTCAAAAACAGGCACCATATCAGGCATTCTCCAAAAGTAGGCCAAAACAATCAACCATTTTAATTGATAGAGGGGAATGATTACATAAATCTCAAGCCCACAGTGTTCTTTGTCTCATGCTCTTGTTCACTTATTTTGGCCATGACCATCCAAAGGATTGTTCAATAGCAGACCTTCGAAATTTATATATAATTACTTTGGCATCTAAATGTTTGCTCCTTTATGTCCAGGGTGGACATGATATTATTTAATGCACATTTTTGCCATTCAGGCTCTTCTTCATTTTCCAAAATACTGTGAGCCAATCACTTCTGGTGAGGCACAGTTGACAGACAGTCGCAAACTGTGGCGGAATATTGAGCCTCATCTGAAGAAGGCCCTCCATACAGTTTACCTTAGGGAGGTGTCCAGCAATCAGTGGGAGAACATTATTGGGCAAGACACACAGACTGGCTGTGAGAACCTTCCAGGGCAGGGTAAGAAATGTGCTTTCATCCACTTCTAGGATTTTTGTTAAGTATGTACACATGTAACATCTACAGATATAACACATGCAGGAATGCATTACAAATGGTACAATCCTTCACGTAGAAAATCCTGAGTCTCAGAAACGTTTTGTGATCTTCGAATCTTGCAAAACTTTGTTTTGAGTCATGAAGTTCTGTTTTTGCATCTGCAAAGTTGCACAAATTGGGGGAGATATGAGTATTTTCTAAAAACAGTGGGGCGGGGGGGAAGAGGGAGATTGATGTTACTGAAACTAAAGATTTAAGTAGATATTAATACACACCATTCCACCATGCAGGAATGGTGTGAATGGTAAAATGAATAATGAATGGTAAAATTTGAGACTTGCTTAAACATTTTTTGAAAGGCCAAAAATCAAAGACAGGGTTGTGACTTAAATTATTTTAGACTTGTACCTTTAGAAAGCACTTGCATGTTGATCAGGCAAGTGCCAACAGGGGAGGCTGGGGGAGAGAGGAAAAGATCCTAGAGAGAAGGAGCGCAGCCCTTTATGTTTTTTGGCTCCACATGTACAATGGCCACCAGATGTACACATGGAAATAATTATCCAGTCCTTGCCCAGATTAGCTGCTAAAAGATTAGCTGCAGTAAATTCTTTTTCTCATAATTATCACCTTTTTTATCAGCTCAGTCAAAACGGGGAGATTAGAAACGCCTACAGCATAAAAATTGTGATAGACTAGTGACCCATCTCTTACCTCTTGATACAAAAACTATACATGCGCAAAAAATCACTTTGGCTACTTTGAAGCTAATTATTAATAAACACTTAAATTTGGCAATCTCTTTCTGTAGGTATTTCTGTTCGTTCACACATCGAGTTGCCATACTACGCCAAGTACCTTTTGATAGCGTCATACCTGGCTTCTTACAATCCTGCTCACACAGACAGGAGGTTCTTTACCAAACAGGGACGACGAGGCTTGAGTAACAGAGCAAAGGCGGCAGCGAAAGCTAAGAAATCCAACACACAGCTGACAGGTCAGAATATAAATCAAATGTGGCATTGTTATTAAGCACCGTTATCCTCGCAAAACTAACTCCTGGAGACCTTACATGGTTCAGTTCTGGCCCTCTCTCTGTCACGGGAACGTAACGCGACAGAAATAGGGTCAGAGCTGGACCAGTCCAGTTCTGGGCTCTCCTGTCATGCAAGTCCCCCCACATGCAACGCTACGCTTTCGGTAGAGGGCCGTAACTGTACTGTTTCTCTAGATGCCGTTATTTATGTTCTCAATTCATCACGGTCTTAAATTTAAAGCCTTTAAGGGTATTCCACTGAAATAGAACCTGCACTGAGATTTTTGTGAAAGTTTGCCTATTGATTGTTTATATTACAGGAACTTAAATTTTGAAATAAAAATGATGGGTCCCCATGTTCGTTTATGAGCAACAGCACCTTGTTTATACCCAATAAATCCTTATAATRTTAGCACCATGATTKTAGTCACGATTGCTTGCTAAATTCACGTTTCCGACGATTGTTTTTTGTTCTGCACTGAGAATTGGTCCATATTTAATTTACACAGAGAAATTTATTACTCAATTAAAAACAACAGAAAAAAATGATAGGTCACCATACTCGTTTGCGAGAAAATGACAATTTACCTCTATGGCGAGGTCCAGCCGTAAAGAAAAAGCCGCCATTTTTTTAATGCGCGCGCGCTATTCACGCGTGAAGTTATGCGCAGTAGGGATGCGCAATGCAATACTTGGGAATGACCTTAAAGACCTTTTAAAAGCGTAGGAGAGAAAAATCCCTAGTCGTTTCACGCTACGGAAACGGGACAGAACTCCGACGGTATGAGACACTTGATCCGACGCTTAATCTGTACCTGCACGGTCTCTTAGGACCCTTACAAAAGACAGTCAGTCAAGTGAGTTCTTAGTACAGAAAATGCAAGAGATGCTCTGACCTGTTGATACATGTGTTCAAGGAGTTGACTTTGGTTTTATTTTGTGACAGGTCCGAAGAATTTTCAGCTGGACAGATTGATGGCCATATTTTACAGCATTGTGGAAGAAAACGTCGCTCCATCGGCCAATATTCTTTGTCAGATTTCCTCGCTTGTCTCACTGAACCTGCTTGCTCAGATCACATCTGATGATCAGATAGACTGTCCCAAGTACAAATGCCTCGTGAACTTCCTTTCTATTTCAGAGATTGCCAAACAGCTGCAGTTTGATATCGTGCAATACTTGTACGACTTCGTTTGATGCTCTAGCAATGATTGAGTCGTAAATTCTTGTTAGCTTTTTATAAAGGATTTAGCT